ACAGTAACAGTCTGATTTTTCTTTTCCCCACAATAATATATATTTTATTTGTTTGATTGGGGTAGGGATGGAAAAGTTGCTCCAAGTCTGCAAACCTAAGGGCCTGTCTAGCAATGCCCTCAGAGTTCAGCCCATGGAGGTCCAGCCTAGACTGACCTTAACCTCTCACTAAGTTATGTTTTGTAGGTTGTACTAGAAGTCACTGAGGTTTGGAGAACTATAAACCTTTTTAATTCAAATATGTTATCTGGGAAAATAATATGTTATGCCAGCATTTTTCAAATATTTTAGCCACAGAAACCTTTATTTAAATAAAATATTATATACAGTTATGATCGGCCAATTAAATATAATATGAACTTTAATTTTTTAATAAAAATAATAAATAAAATATTTTAGGAAACCCCAAAGAGATTAAAGTGGATCTATTGAAATTGAAGGGAGTGGGGAGAAAGTGGACCCCAACCAGTTCAAGTTACAAAGAGGTCCTCAAGAGAAGACAAACAGCATCAGAATAAGAGAGAGGAAGTGTAATATTGTGATACAAGAATTTGGTCTCTGTCCCCATTTCTGGGGCTAATATTTGGTCTCTAACACAGTTCCTAACACAGATCTCCTAAGACCTCTGTAATTTCCTGAGTGATAGGAGCTTCTGGCACAGAGGTCCAAAATCCCTTAGAATTTCTTGGGTGATAGGAGCATCTTCTGTTCTAATGAGGTAACAGCTGGTGGGGGTTGGTCACTAGGGAAATCAACCATGTGACCGGAGGGTTGGAACTTTCAGCCTCACTCCCTGACTTCCTGGAAGGGGAGAGGTGCTGAGGTTCAGTCTATCCCCACTAGCCAATGAATTCATCAATCATGCCTAAATAGTGAAGCCTCCATAAAAACTCAAAAGTATGAGATTTGGAGAACTTCTGGAATGCTGAGCACGTAGAGGTGCCTGGAGAGGGCATGGAAGCTCCACATGCCTGCATACCGTGACTATGCATCCCTTCCATCTAGCTGTTCATCTGTATCCTCTGTAATATCTCTTATAATAAATAGGTATTATGGTTTAGATGTATGTGTCCCTCCAAAATTCATATGCTGGAACTTAAACTCAAAAGTAATAGTGTTAAGAGGTGGGATCTTTGGTGAAGTGATTAAGTCAAGAGGGTTGTACCCTTGTGAATGGGATTAATGCCCTTATCAAAGAAAATGAACGGACTGGCCCAACCCCTTCAGCCCCTTCTACCATGTGAGGATGCAGCAAGAAGATGCCATGTTGGAAACACAGAGTAGCCCTCACCAGACACCGAATCTGCTGGTGCGTTGATCTTGAACTTCCCAGTCTCTAGAACTGTAAGAAACATGTGTTTATTATTTATAAATTACCCCATCTAAGGTATTTTTTTATAGCAGCCATAACAGACTAAGACAATAAGTAAATATAAGTGTTTTTCCCTGAGTTCTGTGAGCCACTCTAGCAAATTAATCAAACCCAGGGAAAGGGTTGTGAGAATCCCCAGTTTATATAAAGCCAGTTGGTCAGAAATATAGGTCACAACCTGGGACTTGTGCTTGGCATCTGAAGTGTGGGGCAGTCTTGTGGGACTAAGCTGTTGGATCTGATGCTAACTCTGGATAGACAGTGTCAGAGTTGAATTATAGAACATCCAGCTGGTGTCCACTGGAAAACTGATTCTGGCTGGTGGGGAGAAATTCCTACATATTTTGGTGACCAAAGGGGAAGTATTTGCAATGAGAATGAGAGAGGGAAAAACAGTCTGTTTTTTTTTCGTCAGGACATATCACATAATGGTAAGGGCTCATAATCTGTAGCAGACTACCTGAGTTCAAATCCCAGTTCCACCACTAACCAGTTATGTAATTTGTTGAGCACTTACTATCTGTCAGGCACTGTGCTAAGTGCCTTGCATGTATTAATATTATCTCATGAGTAAACAGACACAGAGAGGTTGAGTATCTTATCCTAGATCTCACAGAAGAGCAGGGATCTTAGCACAGGCATTTGATTTCAGAGCCCACATTCTTAACCACTACACTGAAGTACAGTTCTTTTACAACCATTGTTTTAAGCTGTATACATCTCTATTAGTGAGGGTTCTACAGAGAAATAAAACCAATAGGGTACAAATTCACATAGAAAGAGAGGTATGTTAAGAAACTGGCTCATGTAATTAAACTGGCAAGTTTGAAATCTGCAAGGTGGACATCAGGCTGGAGACCCAAGAAAAGCTGATATTGCAGTTCACATCCAAAGACCGTGGCAGAATTCCCTCTTGCTTGGGGGAGGTCAATTTTTTGTTCTATTTAGGCCTTCAGCTGATTAGATAAGGCCCACTGAAATTTGGGAGGGCAACCTGCTTGACTCAAAGTTCACCAATTTAAATGTTAATATTGGCCTAGCGTGGTGGCTCACGCCTGTAATTCCAGCACTTCAGGAGGCCAAGGCAGGCAGATCACTTGAGGTCAGGAGTTTGAGACCAACCAGGCCAACATACAGTGAAATCCTGTTGTCTCTACTAAAAATACAAAAATTAGCTGGGTGTGGTGGCACACACCTGTAGTCTCAGCTACTTGGGAAGCTGAGGCAGGAGAATCACTCAAACCCAGGAGGCAGAGGTTGCAGTGAGCCAAGACTACACCACTGCACTCTAGCCTGGTTGACAGAGCGAGATTCTGTCTCTCTAAATAAATAAATAAATAAATAAATAAATGTTTATCTTGTCCAAAAACAGCCTCACAGAAACACCCAGAATAATGTTTGACCATATATCTGGGCACTGTGGCCCAGTGAAGTTGGCACATAAAATTAGCTACCACAGCATCCATCCATCAGAACAGCTAAAAAGGCTCAGAGAAGGTGGTAATAGGGAGACAGGGACATGTTTGGACATGGAGTAGCCCAGCAGGACCAACCTGAGAGGGGCACCATGGTGATGGCCAGGGACACACTAAACACACCAGCACCCAGTGAAAGCAACAACAATAGGGGAGGGGGTAGAATAGCAGACTCATTTGGCCCACACATGCTCTCAGGCCCTTCTTACTAAACCTTCTATCTGTAGGGATAGTGTGAAAGGATTTGGCAGGGTCCTGTATGAGAAACCTCACAAAGTTTGGACCGTCTTTTACAACCACAAACTGAAGGCCCATCTGGTCAGGGACTCTTCAGTTTGGGATGTGACACTCTTGGATCAAGGGGATCTGAAGATCTTCTGTAAAGCACTACTTGGTTTCCACCAAGCTGTGGAAGGAGTGCTTTTGGACACTAGAAAAAACCTTCTCACTTCCTCATTTGGGACTGTCAACCCGAAAGTGCAAGGCGAGTTATACAGAAAACACCTCTTTTGGAGTTATTTACTCTAACTGCTCAGCATTGTGAGAACAAGCTCATTCTTGTACCTTTTCTCCGTGGATTTGGGGATCACAACAACAAGGGACTTCCCCGTCACTGGAGTGGCCACAATCTGAACAAGTTTCACCCACCGCCTGAGAGTCCTGCCCTGAATTTTAGACTTCGATCATAAAAAACAATGGATAATATAATTTAACAGTGAATAAATTAGGTATCAATGAAGTTAGCTTCAAAGCAAAATGCATCCATGTCGGTTGAAATATTGTGCTAAGTTGTCAGTGTACTAGCTTCCTTTCCAACCAAATGCGTGCAGGAAAAGCTGGGTCTGGAAGAGTATAGGATCCAAAGGAGAGGGTAGAGTTAGGCACAGAGACCATGAAACCTGACATGAGTTCAAACCTTGGCTTTGCCACCAACTGCATGACATTAGGCAAGTCACCTAGCCTCCTTGTGCCCATCTGAAAAATGCACCGCAAGGATAAGGCCAGCATATGGGCCCTGCCAGGCAGCTGAGGACATGGAGTGGCTTCCCCACCTGGCATATGTCAAGGTCATAGGGGAAAGCAGAGGAATCCCAGGTACCAAGCAGAATCAGGAAGAAAGAGTCAGGTAAGGAAACACCACAGGGATAATCAGGGGAGGGCCACATCTCAGGAACTTCAGATGGTGCCTGAGAACTAGTTCATGTTGACAGAGCAGTCACGGAGCCATTTCCAGACCTGCTGGCCTTTCCATACATAATTATACTGAGCAATTATTACAAATAATTGGAATGGCACTGGGGAAGTAACAGGACAAAAGAAGTTTCCTCTTCATAGCAATTTCATATGTAGCAGGGTTGCAATTCACTTACACTACCTTCATAAATCCAGAGAAAATGAAGTTTCACTATTTTCTCATTAATTAATCTCTCTAAATTCCCCATTCTCTTTGCAAGCAGAAAGAAGGAACTAAAGATTTTAGGTCAATTCTAAAATTACAGGCCATCCCAAAATCTGAACAGAGTCCTTAGGTAATGTGATGTCTTTGGGACAAATGTTCAGCCTTTCAGATGTCCGACCTTCCTTCCTTTCTTCCTTCCTTCCTACTTTCCTCCTTCTTCTCTTCCCCAAGATAATGTTCAAGGAGGGGAAAGGGTCCTTGATTCCATATGGCATCCCTTGCAGCAAAATGTTTAGACTGGGCTGCTCCTGGAGAGTGACCCTCATGGAGCAGCCAACATCTAGAGGAGTATCAGTGTCTCCTGCAGAAGCTAGGCTGGGCTGGACTGGGCCAGGCTGGCCCCTTGCAGCTCCACAATGGCCTGGTGATTCTCCCCAGCTACTCACTCAAGCTCTGCCACATCCTTCAACCAGCTGCTGGGGGTCACCTTCCTCATGTCTTGCTGGGTTCTAAAGCGGGCTTGCTTGGATCTTGTCCAGTCCCTTTCACTATCCCTCCTGGGGCTAGAAGAGGTACATGGGCACATCTGGGTCTCCTCTACACCTCATCACATGAATTGGTACCAGAGTTGCCTGGGAGAATAGGGTAATCCAGTTTCCTTCTAGAATCTCACACCTAAACTGAAACAAATCTCCTCCACCCCATTCTTGAATGTCTTATCCCACATACCCATCTCCCCACTGCCTCTCCAGCTGCTATGTTTTTCTTTCCACAATCCCCCAAGCCAGAAGGGATAAACTTTCACTTACTTCTGTAGGGGAAGAAAGATTTCTTTTCTCATTCTTCACCAGGTTCGTAGCTGAGGCACCTATAAGAAAAGCCTCATTAACAACAACAAAAAAAGCATACATGTTTATTTAATATAAGTTTTATGTGACACAAGGGCCTTAAGAAATGAAGACCCAGAGAAATGGAAACTTGTATATTTTTACGCTTGGGTTTGTTGAAGATGGACAGTCATGGGGAAGTATGATTGGACAAAGGAGGTATGACCTAATGGGAATAAACTTGGAGGAACTTAGTAAGGCAGGTTTGTTTGTTCAGATTCTTCTGTGTCCCTGTGTCTTCAGAGATAAGGATGTTCCTTTCTTCTGGGTGTAGGGAGGGTACCTCCTGAATGAGGATGTTATGACCTGCTTTAGGGAAGAAGGATCCAAGAAAGTCAGAGAGTGTCCTTCCTGGGTTTTATGAGCTGCTTCAGGGGAGAGGGGAAAGAGTAAGTTGAGGGAGACATTCCACTTCTGCAGTTTTCTCAAATGGCAGGCTGCCATATTTTGATGTTCCTGGGCCCCATCACTTCCCTTTCCTCTCTTACTGAGACTTGGCTGTTGCCACTTTCTCTTCCTCCTTCCAGGTTCTTAGCTCATGGCTAAGTCTTACTAATAAGTAGAATTCAGGGGAGAAAAAGATGACAAGAGATAAATTTGGATCTTTCCCATAAATATGAAACTCATTATCCTGAGAAAAAAGATCTCTCCCAAATTCTCAGAAAGCCCCCTTAAAAACAGGCAAGGGATTATTTCAGGGTGTCCTTGTAAAAGTCAGCACAGATGGCATTCGAATTTGTACATCACTGGGATGCATAAGTATATCTATAGCAACAAGGTGTGCAAAACTTGTAATTCCCTAGACTTTGACCACAGGAGAATAGGATGTGACTGTTATGCTAATGATCTCATTAATATCATGAATACAATTAACAAATGAAGTCAATTATCACTGGCAAGCATTCATTACAAAGAGATAAGTTGCTGTGCTCCAGCCACACAAGTAACTATTTTGCTGCGTTTGTCCGGAAGCTCTCTTTTCATCTTTGCTCATTTATTACCACTAAATGTATAAATGCCTGGGAATGTGGACTCAGCTCATTACTTATATATATTACCTTGATTATAATTTGACCTCATGTACACATCAGTTTGAAGAACCCTACAAAATACCACTTCTATTTATAACACAGCCTCATCTGCCAAGCCTACAGGAGAAAGCCTAATTGGAAAGAATAAAAGGTTACCTTTGCGTGTAAACTGCACATTCATTTAGTTATCAGTTTTATTTCTTCCTAATTATCAGTGGTTGTGCATCTTCCAGTAGCTTGGATATAGTTGGTTTTCCTCCCAATAATTCCTGAGAAATAGAAACTCTAATGATCAGATTAGTCGTTGGGAAGTGTGGTCTCAATGTGCAGTTTTTTGGGGTTGTCAAAAATTAATTTCAGGATTCAAACTTAAACTGCCATAAGACTGTGGTTCTGAGGCCAAATGCCTATTTTTATGTGACTCTTTCACTATCTATATCATAAGAACTGCATGTTCTTTGTAGTTTAAAACAAAATAATGTTCTTACCAGAAGTCCCACAATTAAATATTGTTGCAGGCAGCTTTTCTTGCTGCCCATCCATAAGAAGCGAAACGGTTCTCAGACGTGGATTTTTTTTTCTTTTTTTTTAATTATTATTATTATTATTATTATTATACTTTAAGTTCTAGGGTACATGTGCATAGCGTGCAGGTTTGTTACATATGTATACTTGTGCCATGTTGGTGTGCTGCACCCATCAACTCGTCAGCACCCATCAACTCGTCATTTACATCAGGTATAACTCCCAATGCAATCCCTCCTCCCTCCCCCCTCCCCCCTCCCCATGATAGGCCCCAGTGTGTGATGTTCCCCTTCCCGAGTCCAAGTGATCTCATTGTTCAGTTCCCACCTATGAGTGAGAACATGCGGTGTTTGGTTTTCTGTTCTTGTGATAGTTTGCTAAGAATGATGGTTTCCAGCTGCATCCATGTCCCTACAAAGGACACAAACTCATCCTTTTTGATGGCTGCATAGTATTCCATGGTGTATATGTGCCACATTTTCTGAATCCAGTCTGTCACTGATGGACATTTGGGTTGATTCCAAGTCTTTGCTATTGTGAATAGTGCCGCAATAAACATACGTGTGCATGTGTCTTTATAGCAGCATGATTTATAATCCTTTGGGTAACTGTTTGAAGAAATGGATGAAGCTGACCTCTACTGAGAGCCATCTCGGTTCCCAGCCTGCAGCATGCATAGCTGCCTCGCCCTCTCCTTCTGCCCACCTCAGCTTGCCTCCCCATCCCTGAGTCTCCCTCGTATTAATTAGTCATTTTATGCTGCCCTAACAAAGTACCACAGACTGGTGGCTTAAACCAGGGGTCCCCCAATCCCTAGGGCCACACACCGGTACCAGTCCCTGCATGGCCTGTTAGGAACAGGGCCACACAGCAGGAGGTGAGCTGCAGGCAAGTAGGCTAAGCTTCATCTATATTTGCAGCCACTCCCCACTGCTTGAATTACCAGCTGAGCTCCGCCACCTGTCAGACCAACAGCAGCATTAGATTCTCATAGGAGTGTAAACCCTATGGTAAATTGTGCATGCAAGGGATCTAGGTTGTGCATTTCTTATGAGAATCTAATGCCTGATGATCTGTCACTGTCTCTCATCACCCCCAGATGGGACCATCTAGTTGCAAGAAAACAAGCTCAGGGCTCCCACTGATTCTACATTATGGTGAGCTGTATAAGTATTTCATTATGTATTACAATGTAATAATAATAGAAATAAAGTACCCAATAAATATAATGTGCATGAATCATCCCAAAACCATCTCACTCCCTCCCAGAGTCCGTGGAAATGCTGTCTTCCACAAAACTGGTCCCTGGTGTCAAAAAAGTTGGGGACTGCTGGCTTAAACAACAGACATTTATTTTCTCACAGTTCTGGAGGCTAAAAGCCCAAGATCAGCCTGCCAGCCCGACTGGGTTCTGGTGAGGTCTCTGTTTCTGGCTTGCAGATGTCTGCCTTCCCGTGGTGCCCTTACATGGTGAGAGAGAGCTCTGGTATCTCTTCCTTTTCTTCTAAGAGCACCCGTTCTCCTGGGGCAGGCTCCAGCCTTATGACCCCATTTAACCTTCATTACCTCCTTTAAGGCCCTATCTCCAGTATAGCCCACATGAAGGGTTAGGGCTCCAACATATGAATTTAGGGATGGGATACAGTTTATAGCACGCCTGGCCCTGGCACACTGATGCTCTTATTCACCATGACACACCATCTTTTCATTAAAAAAAAGTTTTGAGGAAGCTGTGCTGGGAGAGTGGCTGGTGAGTAGCAGGGCTCCCCCAGTTCACAGGCTATGTCCTTTTTGCAATGTGCCTCCTAATACCGCTTTGTCAGGTGGACCTTTTGCAGAGGCCAAGGCAGAAATTTCTCAGGGACGTTGTGGGGGTTGAAAGAGTAGGGAAAGCGTTGTTTTGCCAGAAGTGTCTGTGATTTTCTGAGCAAAGGGTGGCTCTGATTAGGAAAGGTGGGGTAAACTGAAAACATGGACAAAACATGGACTCCTAAGGGGCTGGCCTTAAGAGGGGACTGTCACCTGCATCATGGGATCCGAGGAACACTGAAAATGTTCAAAATACCTCACTCCTTGGCCTGGTGCTGACACTAAAATTTCACCACTAGAGGGACAGTCCATCAGATTAAGGAAAAGAGGATCCATGTAGTTGTCAGCTAATAGAAAATGGAGGGAGGAGAACAAAACATTGCTTGTCATTTTCTTCCTAGACTGTAAAAGCCGAAGGGAAAGAAGAAGCATTTTGCTCACTTTTGAACTCCCACCACACTTAGTACGGTTCCCTGAGTAAAAGCGGGTGCTCAGTATATCTTGAGTGACCTCAGAGGATTTCGGTTCCTTTTGTATTCACATGCCAAGTGCTGAGTAAAACCTATTAACTTTACTGTTATTTATGTCACCAAATATATTTGTCCATTTCATTTTCATCACTTGAGCCAAACTGGGCGTGGATGCCATGCAAGGCTAAGCATTAAAACAGCCCCAGAACGGTCACATTTATACACTCAGTTCTTTCTAGTCTTCTCCCCCCACTTTGTGAATATTTTAAATAACGGAATACAAGCTATTTTCTATTTAGTGTTGCTATAACTAGAAATTATTCTGGGCTACAGTAAAAGCACGACTGATGTGTGATTCACTTTGCAAATAAATTTACTGTTTAGCCTTTTAGCCATGGATTCATTTACTGTATTTTCAGATTGTTTTTATATGAAACAGCTAAATGTTCTGCTTTCTTCACTTTGTAGTACTGGAGGTGTTTCCATTCTGAAACTATATCTCTTAACTAGACAAGTCGATTAGAGAAATGAGTAAGCTAACAGGGTCAAAAGAAGGTCTTGCCCTGAAGGCACAGACGAAGTGTTCAGCTGATGGAGAGGTAAGGAAGAAAGAGAAAGTTACAGGCCATAGGCAGGGGAAGGCAGAGTCTGGTTATTTGTACCTCATACACGCCTAACCTGTGGACTCTTCTCTAAATACTGATGTAATTGTTTCTTGAACTAGCAAGGGCTCATCTGGTTGCAAGAAAAGGATAGAATCCCCTTAAATTAGCTCAGAAAAGGGGCTCTGTTCAAGGACACATCTCTTGTGGAATCCATGGAAGTGCAGGGGGAAAATAAAAATGGGACAAACAGGACTCGGAGGACAAATTAGGGCTTGTCTGGGATTCTCTGCACCAGAAGCTCCCAGACATTCACATCAGCTACACAATTAAGGTGTCTGGGCTCTTAACTCCCCCTGTCTCTGTGACTTGGTCCCTTGCTACTCAAAGTGTGACCCTGGGACCAGCAGCCTTGGCATCACCCAGAAACTAATTAGAAATGCAGAGTCTCAGATTCCACCCCTGCGCTATTGAATCAAGATCTTTATTTTATCAAAGCTTCCAGTAATAGGCTAGCCACTTGGCAGCAGACTTGCCACCGCTGTGGCAAGAGGCTACTCCTGATCGAATTCTGGGGAGATAAATGAACCAAGGTCATGGGCATAAAGAATAGTTAGGCATTGCAGACAAACTGCCCTACTGTATATGTTAAGTGTGTTTTGAGCTAAATTTAACCTGTATCCATTCTGAGTGTTTAATTTCCCAAAGAGTCTACACTCTGTACCCATTGGTACCATCTTGATGCACATCTCTTGAAATTAAGCATCCTTGTTTCTCAGATGACTAGAAATGTCAACTGTCATTAGCAGAGTGAATGTTTGGTCCTTTATAAACACTGTTGTCACACCAAAAAAAAAAAACGAATGTAGTGCATATATACAAGAAAAGCAAAAAGCAACCTCTTTATAATTCTTACCAGTTCAGTGATAAAGTAATGATCTCTCATGACCTCCTTTCTTCTCTAAAATCTGAATCTCTCCAAAGCAGCATCTTCACTGATGCTTTAATCCCAGGCGGTGGTTTCCATACCTGGAGGTATAGAACAGAGCTGTATGTCATTTTCTCCTCAGGATTTAAATTTAACTTGAGAAGGCAAGCCTGTGGGTAGCTAATTAATAGATTTTTTTTTTTTTTTTTTTACAATTGCAGGTACCTGGCACTATTCTGATTAAATTTCCAAGCCGATTAAAAAAGAGTCCAAAAGATTGGCAAGCATTGTTTCCTGCCTTGAGGAGCACAGAACTGGCTGGGGAAGCCCCCAAGCAAACTTCTGAGTTGAGAGACATGCCAAAAAAGAGAGGAAGGTGGTGAGCACAGGGTCAGAAACAAAATCGGCACAGTTTCTCTCTCTTTCCCTCTCTCACCTCATATAACAAGCACCAATCTTTCTGTGCTCTAGTTTTCAGCACACAGAAATTTCTGGTTCTTATCTACCAGCATCCAGAAATACAGAAACCACTCCAGTATCTCAGATGCGGGATTTCCACTGCAGCCCATTTAGTGTGTGCTCCGCATTTCACACATATTAAATGGGCCCTGTTTCTCAGGGCTACCCGGCCTGAACCCTGCCCTGGGCTCCTGAGGCGCCTGCCCTAACCACACTCTCCTTGTTAAAAGAGACATTGGCCACTCCCCTTTGTTAAGGATATTCAGATGCTACCACTTGGTAGAGAAATTAAGACCTAAGAAAGGCTCCGTCTTTGATGTCATTTTACAAATACATAAATACAAGGAAATAGAGGGAAGGAAAACTTCAAGGAAAAATGTATTAAAACAGTGCCTAGAACAGCATCCTTAGGCAGATGCCTTTTCAAACCAGGTAGTTCTGGTGAACGTTTCCAATATGTGCCAAGAGGTGGGTACTTGATCCAATTGAGCCAATCATAAAGTCTCATGCTTTGGTCACTGTGATTGGCCCAGGAATAAACATGTGACCCCCCATACAGCCAATCAGAATTCTCCTCTGGTCTTTTCAAACTTGAGCTTAGGAGAGAGGACATTTCCTCTCTAGTTTTGGAACTGTAAATGTGGGAGGCTGGAGCAGCTACGGCTCCAGCCACCTGAGAAGCCAATGTGAGCAGATAAGCTGATGCTCAGAGAAGCCAAGACCAGCAGGAACAGAATTCCTCATAATGTTCAAGTCCCTGGTTCCAGTTGTCCCTAATGTTGACACCGCCCCTCCCTTCTAGTTCCATTAACCAGTAAATCCTCTTTTCCGCGTTCTCTAGTTCAGTTTCTTTCACTTGCCACCAGGAGACCGCTAGCAATTATTTCCAGTCACTCTCTTGCTGCGATAGCTGCCCTCAGCAAACTCCTCTTTTTAAAATAGAAATGGCTCCTCAGGGCGTCTACCACAACCTCTGCTGTCTCAGAGCTGGCCTTCGCCGCCGCCGCCCCCACCACCTCCCCCGCAGCCATCGCCACCGCTTTCACCACCACCGTCACCTCCGCCGCTGCCTCCTTGGGGCCCTCCTCCTTCACCGCTCCGTTCGCCACCTCTACACGTTCAAGGCCTTCTGTCGTGGAGAAGAAGCTATGGTCGGTCTCCCTTGCGGGCCCGGGGCAGAGCCATGGCGGACCGCGGCGGCGGCGGGGGAATGGGCGTGGTGGGCGGTGGCGGAGCCGGCCAGGCCTCTGCCGGGGCAGCGACTGGTGCTACTGGGGACAGCGGGGGCGGTGGCCCGGTCAACCCGGCCTCGCTGCCTCCCGGCGACCCGCTGCTCATCGCTCTCATCGTGGAACAGCTCAAGAGACGGGGCTTTTTTGACAGCTTCCGCCGGGACTGCCTGGCCGACGTGGACACCAAGCCAGCTTACCAAAACCTGAGGCAGAAAGTGGATAATTTTGTGTCAACACATCTGGACAAGCAGGAATGGAATCCTACAATGAAGAAAAACCAATTGCGAAATGGTCTGAGGCAGAGTGTGGTTCAGTCAGGGATGTTGGAAGCTGGAGTAGACAGGATTATTTCTCAGATGGTGGATCCAAAACTTAACCACATCATCAGGCCACAAATAGAACGAGCAATTCATGTATTCCTGGCGGCCCAGAAAAAAGCAGCTGCGCCAGCACCCCCACCAGAGCCCGAAGGCCAGGACCTTCCAGCTCCATCTCAGGACACTTCCTAAGAATATGCCTGACACCTTTTGAAAGTTAATTTCTGGTGAAGAAGTGGATTCGGTTATGTAAGAGTGCAACTTCAGACCGAAGATAGGCCAAGGTCGTCACTGATCTCAAGATTCAACCTTGACCATGGGCAGTGACCAGATTGAAAGGGGAGCAAGTTCGGCAGTGGGAAAGTTGACCGTGTCGCCCCCTGCATTGTGCTGCCATTTGGCCAGCCTGCCCAAGGGCATGACACCAAGTAGACACTACACAGAGAAACACTACAGCAATCCAGGGTTGTCCTGAAACAGACTTTTATACTTGAACATGGAGACTGCGAGTGGACTTGAGGGTTTGTGCTGTGGAATAAACGGAAGCTACAGTGAGAACATAGCCAGTCCCAAAGACAATTTCAAAAAACAATGACAGAAAGTTTAGCTGGGAGTAGTCTTTGACAGTGTTTATTTGATACTGTCTCTCAGAGTTTGCAAACCAGATTGTACAAGTCATTAGCATCAGATAGCTTGTGACCTTCTTGTACATGAATCTTCTAGCCAGTTTCCTTTCCTTTGTAGTAGGTAATGAGACATGAAATCCCAGAATGTGTGAGAAGTTCAGACATTAGACATAAGGAAACTCGTTTGCAGGCTCTCTGTCCAGGGCTGCTTCCTGTCCTGGAGGGGCCAGTGAGTCTTAGGTATGTTTATTTTATCCTCACATTTGTGTTTTTTTAGAAAAGTGAATGATCAATAAATGGCTTATCTTTCATAATAAAATCATTTGATTTGATACTCTTAAAAAAAAAAAAAAGAAATGCCTCCTCGGAAGCCAGAGGAGTTGCTAGAGTAAACAGATCCACACCATGATGCAGTCAGAAGATCTGGACAGCTACGAAGAGCAGGAAAGGGGAACTAGAAACAACTGGCAAATATTTTATGTCAGGATCAAATTGCCATTTTTACACAAATCTTTGTTATTAATGGAATATAGTATTCCTGGATTCTTCTCGCTATAAGGATTGCACGCACCACACTCACATCTGTGTGTGGAACAAGCCAGAGGGTGACCTACACTCACTATAGAAAGTGTTCAGTAGGCCCTTGCCGATGCAGAAGACAGCAGACTGAACTAGACATCAAAGACTATGTGATCTGGCCCAGCGCGGTGGCTCATGCCTGTAATCCCAGCACTTTGGGAGGCCAAGGCAGGCGGACACGAGATCAGGAGTTCTAGACCAGTCTGACCATGCAAACTGCTACCCCAAGGCCTTTGGACATGCTATCCCTTCTGCCTAGAAGGATCTCTGCTTATTGCCTCCCACCCACAAATTAATCTCACTCTTCCTGAAGACTTCAATCAATTATTTTTTTCACAGAGGACTTTGTTAATGCCCATGACTGCATCAATTCTCCTGACTATATACACTCATTTCACCATGCACCTCTCCTCTAGAGGATTTAACATGGATCACAATTGTAATTATATTTTGTCTGCTTCCCCTGGTGAACTTTAAGCTTGCCATTGTATCCTCATCATCTTTCACAGAACCTAATATATAGTTCAGTAAATATTTGTTGGATAGATAAGCATATTTAGGTTAAGGGTAAAACGATAAAACAAAGAAACTCAACAATAATTCAAAGATTGAAAAAAGATAGCTTGTTATTTACCTAAAAATTAGTGGTGAGCAATTCCATGTCAGTGGGTGGCTTTGCTCCACATAGTCATTCAGAGACCCATGGTATGAGTCATTCAGAGACCCAAAGGTTGAGTTGATAAATTCCAGCCAGTAGAGAGGAGAAAGAGAGCATGAAGATGCATATCGGGTGTATAAAGTCCCAGCATTGCAAGAAGCACAAATCACTTATCACATTCCACATGACAACACCTAACTACAAGGGAAGCTGAAAAACATAGGATAGCTTGGCAGCCACATGCCAACTACAATTTTGTTATTACAGAAAAGAAAAACATAAGTCATGGACAGTTAATAGTGCCCACCACAGAGTGAATTAATAAATGGATGAATATGGTCCTCCCAGCTTCCACATACCAAGCACTATTTGCCCCTCTCCTCTGGCTTTCTGCTAAGTCCACCAAAATCAACAATGGGGCACCCAATGCCCAACATCCTAGGTCAGTTGCCTCCTTATGTGGCCAAGGCAGTTGATACCAGTGCTGCTGAACCTGTTGACTTATATTCCCAAGGCCCCAAGGAAGAGCAACTGAAGCACTCTTTCCTTTTCCTCTTTCTTGCATTGCAATTCCTCTCTCTGTGGGATTCAGGGATAGGTCTATGGTGGCTGGGCTGGAAGGCAAGTCAAGTGATGGTACTGAACTATTCTCAAAGTTCACCAGCCCTGGAACATTAGACCATTATCCTGGCACCAACTTCTTGAGCAGAGAGTCTCTTTGCTCAGGTTAAGTTCTTTCTCAAAAGGTTTGTTGGTCTTCCATGCAAAGACTGTTAGGGAAATTACCTGACAGGCAGGCTCTTCTGACTACCCAGGCATGCTTGAATTAAAGGACTTCACAGAGATATTTCTCAGATTACAACCTTGATGATATAGGATAAAGAAAATGTCTTCAAATTGATTCATTTATAAAACATTTTTAAATGATCAAAAATCACAGAGTTGTTATCAAACCAGAAAAAAGTGTTATATGCTGTTCCAGTTGCTACTGCTGCATAGCAAACACCCTAAAACTCAGTGGTATAGAACAGCCATTTTATTATGCTTACAGATTCTGTGGGTCAAAAATTTGAACAGAGCACAGAGGGAGGGCTTGTCTTTGCCCTCTGAGAGCTGTGTATTCAAGGAGGAAGCCTCAAAGACTGAGGGTTACTCAACAGCTGAGGAGTGGAATCATCTGGCGTGTTCACATGTCTGTTGGTTGATGCTGGTGGTGGAAAGCGAGAGAAAGCGAGAAATTCACACAGAGAAAGAAAGCTCGCAAAGTGTTAGCAACTGATGAATGTAGAAGGTCAAGTTTATATATGTGTTTATTGTTTTTTTATTTCTTTTTTTTTTTTTTTTTTTTTTTGAACGGTCTCCTCTGTCGCCAGTCAGACTGGATGAGTGGCGATATCGCTCACTGCAAGCCCCTCCCGGTTCACGCCTTCTCCTGCCTCACCCCGAGTAGCTGGATACGCCCACACCGCCCGGCTAATTTTTGTATTTTAGTAGAGGGTTTCACCTGTTCGATCTCTGACTTGTATCCGCCCTCGGCTCCAAGTGCTGGATTAGCCAAGCACCGCCCCTTGTTTGTATTTCACTTTTCTGCTGATTTGAAATATTTGAAAATTAAAAGTTGAGAGAACAATTTTAAAATAAACGACTATAGAAGACAAAAACAAAATTGCTTTAGTGACTACATCTTATGAGCCTGCTGGTTAGATGTACAGGTTACAGTCATTAAAACAAAAGGTGATGATGGCCCAGACTAAGGTGGTAGGAGTGGGAGCAAATGTAGACTCTAGATTTGAGAGAGAAATTTCTGACTGGAAACAAAAAGGTATGACTGATTGGACATGGGTGTGAAGGAGGGAGGAGTGAGGGCTGTCACTGTGATATTCAAGGAGAGGATGAGAGATAAACTCTATTTGAACACGAAGAGTTCAGGTTCCTAGGAGACATACGGGCAGAGATGGCCAGAGGGCAGACTGAACCATGGGCAAGAGGTCAGCGCTGAGCTTACAAAGACTTAGGAGTTAACAGAAGCTGAAGCATGTACATGCATGAGCTCAGACAGAAAAAGTAAGAAGTAAAGTGGAAGGAGGAGAAGACAAGGACAGGCTGTTTGAGGTGTCATAGGAAATTGATATCCAGGATAAAGCACTCAGTGTTAATCCCACACTCCATGCTGTCTCCTGGTATAATTCATTCCTGGGCAAATTCCATTCCTCATTAACATTTTTTTTCTTTCCTTGGGTTGTGTTTTATTATTTTAGTTTTATTATGCTGGTACAAACGCCAAGTACTTCTCCTAATAAATGGCCTTTTTCATCTGTTATATCACCCAAATGAATCCAAGCACTTATAATTAGCAAGGTTTACATAACAGGTATAATTTCTCGATAATAAAGTCCAACCATTATCATTGCTTTTTCTTAATGGAACATTTTGTTTTTGAAATAAACAGCAGGCATTAACCAAATATATCTGGATAGCAATAATACTCAACTCTGATCATAACCTGTTTGCTACTCTCTTGAAACTAACCGTAATTCTGGAACAAAATAAAAACATTAGAAGATTAATAAAAGCTATTTTATCAGACAAGGCTCATTCTTCTTTAGCGCTATATTTATCTCACAGGGGAAAATTACTTTATTACATGGATAGCAATGCATTTATGACAAGGCACTTGAAGAATAAGTCTGATGCTCATTTTGAAATTCCATTTCTTAGTAGTCACAGGCCATGCAGTCATCAGAAATACTTTTAAAAAGAAAAAACTACCACATGCTTTTAAGTGCTTTGTTTCCAATAATAAAAGGACTGGCAGGTATATATATTAGAGTTTAGACTGTCGGTATTTGGTTTATGTTAAATCATAAATGAAATTCAATACTATGGCCATACCAGATCTAAATATAGTCATGCTCTGCAATAACAACGTTTTGGTCAGTGATAGACTGCATATATGACTGTGGTCGCCTAAGATCATACCATGTTTTTACTGTACCGTTTCTATGTTTAAATATGTTTAGATACACAAATGCATCATGTTATAATTGCCTACAGTATTGAGTACAGTAATATGCTGTACAGGTTTGTAGCCTAGGAACAATAGGTCATAGCATAGGTGTGTAGAAGGCTACACCATCTAGGTTTCTGTAAGCACACTCTGTGATATTCACACAATGACAAAATCACTTATTGACATTTTTCTCAGAATGTATCCCTGTCATTAAGCAACACATGACTGTAGTTAGACAAAAGAGAGGGTTTTTCAATTATTCAGTAATTTGATATAGTCAAGCAAATAATTCCAAGGAATCAGGGGGAAAAATGCCCCTTCTGCCTAAGCTACTCTAATTGGCAACACTTAGAAGATCCATGGGTGAATCACTGGCCTTGTTACCTCTGTGTCACTGGCTTACCCCAACAGCTAGCTCAGAACTGTAGGGTTCTGCAAAGTATCTGCCCCACCCCAATCCCACCTCAAAACAAGTATCATATTTCCAGGAGTACCTGGCTGGCGGAGATTGCTGATCATGTTTCATTCTCCTATTTCCAGATATAACCTGGAGCAACTGCCAAGCCAGGGAAACCCATTGCCCACTCCATTTGCAGTTAGGTAGAAACATATAACTCCTTTCCACTGTGAAGTAGAAGGGGGTAATTTGTGCCACTTCTAGACAGGTTTTTTAAGGAGCAGGCATATCTCCCCCATGCTCTTTATTCTTCTACCAGCTGAATGCCATGACAACCAGGTCCCAAGGAACTTCAGAATCTCCAAATGGAAGTCTCCAAAGCCCCTGAATCACCAGAAAAAGAGAGAACCATCCACTGGCCACCACACCGTTAGGTGAGCAGAACACAGACTCCTGTTGTGTTTGAGCCTTTAAACATTCTTAGCATAAATGAGGCAGCAGATTATCCTCTTTAATATACAAAATGATGCCTCAAATATGCCTATAAACAAGTAAAATCAGCTATCCAGAAAGCTACTCTGTGCCGTAACTTCTTTATTTCTATTTCTGCAACATGAGGCACCCCAGTGTCAACCAGGGACCACTACACCTGCTGGGCCTCCCCGCTCACATTAC